AGGGTTGCTCCATTAGCTTGCATTAGCTGTGGTCTGAGAGTTATTTTTGCGCGTTATGAGCCACACATAAGCAATGGAATGTAACCTTTAGATTATAGATACTAGATAGTGTTATTTAAATTCAAGCTGTTTCTATTGATTTTGTTTTGTTTCTGTATATGCCATGAAAAATGTCTCGAAAAGTACTTTCAGGAAAATACTCAGCATCACCAGTCACGATCATCTAAAGTGGCATCATCATCCAAATAGCTAGGCTGCTGACAGAAGTTAGATTTTATGTAAGGCATCCAGGTTTTTCAGAGTTTTATGGAAAAAATAATTTAAAATCTAAGCATTTTGAGTAGCCTAACTGAAATGCATAAGATAAAGCAGAACCTTGCATACACTTCTTGGAACCTGCTGTACTTCTCCCATAATAAACTTTCTTTAATTATATTGGTCTGCTGGATGTTAGGCATAGTTTTTCTTGTACAACATCCTGTTCCTAGCTATTCTTATCTCCTCTCCAGGAATACGTGTTGTTAGATTAGTTTATTCACTAGAACACCCTGTCACACTAACTCTGCTGTAGCACAAGTTCTGTCGCGCTGTTGAGAGATAACTTTTTTATCTGTCTGAAATCATAAATACAAAAAGGAAAATGATATCCCATTTAGTGTTGGATAAGGCTGAAAGCTTTAATTAAAAAAAAAAAAAAAGGTTACAGTACTTACTCTAGCACCAATTTCTTCTCCAGCTCTGCTAAACTGGCTGCCAACTTAAACAATTCATCCTTTCACATTTTGGTATAGTCTCCACTCAGAAATTTCTTGGTCAGTAGCTACTAAAATTCTCCAGTTTTTGATTGCTTAACACCACAAGTGTTTACCAATGTTTGACAGGTATTGACCTACCTAAGAAAATGGTTTATAATAATCTATTCATGATGACTGGGGAGTACCTCCTCTACAAATAATCATTACATTTCTTTCTTTTCCTCAGTCGAAAAATAAAGAAAGAAAAATCAAGAAAGAAAAATCCACATTGTCAACAGTAGAGACAATAAAATAGAGGAGACCTTAAATTCCTTTGCATTTAGAGCAAATCTGCCTTACAACATGTTTGAAACCATGTGCTCTTTGATATCACAGATTCAGTCAATTCCAAGCCCCATAATAAAGATATTCTGAGTCTCATTGGGAACGAGACGTCTTGTAGAAATTATCGTATAGCATACCAGATGGCATCTTTCTTGCAGACATCACTTCAATGTTCTTCTTCTATTGCCTTGGAGAAGAAAGAACCAAGTATTGCTATCCCTGTAAGAGACTTATGCGTCAGTTTTCCCATGCAGGAATAGGTACATCTTTTTTGATTGTGGTATCACAGAAGGATTTTCATGGGATTTATGTTCTTTGAAATCGTAGCAAGACACAGTAGTATGTAAATGTGTTGCAGGTGAGACCATCTCGTACAGTCTGCCTGGCGTTTTTCAATATCAGGACCAGCTTTAGGCACAGACAAAGCAGGCACTGCCTGCAGCGGCACACTGGTGGGGCTGGCACTGAATCACAGACTAGCAAAATGAAGAGACAGCCTTCTAGTTTCAAAGCAATAACACCTGCTCCAGGTTCCACTTGCACTGGCTCAGAAAAACTGTCCAAGCAGCCCCCCCAAGATAAGTCTCTTGGGCTGGCAAAGAACAAGGAGATCTAAAGAGCTGCACGTTCCCGTAACGAAAGACTTGACCCTAATCCCCGCGTTCCTGCCTCTGCTCTGTGCCTGCCTTTGCCTTTGCCTTAGTACTATCTTTGGCAGAAGAGAGAGAGAAAGTCTTTCAGATAACGGGATACTTTAGCAATGAGGTGATAGTCAGGGATGAGGACAAGGCGGCAAGCTGGCTGTGTTTCTGCTTATTTTCTTTCCCCTTGCTGAGCAACCTTATGTTGTGTTGATGGGTCCAGACCTGTAGTTATACCAGCAGAGGACAGAGTTGGAGGAGAGTGCGCAGTGGGACCAGCAGTGCTATAATCATCCAGTACTGGGGCCGTGGAGATAGTTAGACACAGTACCGACAGCTACATGAGGAAATGTGTCTGGGGAGCCACTCAAAAGCTGAATTTTGCCTACACTGTTGCTAGGCGTTGAGCCAAGCACTTCTCATCACTGGCAGCATAACTTCCATGCTGTTTATAGTAAGGTAAGGAAGAAGCAGTTCGACCATGAAACTGGTACATTGATTATTGGCTGTGCCTTATTGTGGGCAGAATATTTTTGTTGGTGGGGGACGCTGGATGCAGAGACATTTGTGTCTGTGCATGTATGGGAAATACAGGAGCCAATCATGCACAGTCCTTTCAAAGAGCGGGATTATGCTTCACTAGGTCTCTTTCCAATATCAATGGTTCTGTTTATGGGGGAAAGGGGAAGACAAAGTCAGGAATCCTTTCCAAAGAAATTCATGACTTCTCAGTCAACTAAGAAAAATTCAGCAAGGATTTAATTCTCAGCTTGTTTAAGATAATTTTCTTCTCAATTTGTTCTCTGAAGAGCTTGCCCAGCCTTTCAGTTTTGCTTACCCAAGGGAAGTTCAGTATATTTCAGCTCAACATAGCCTACCCTTCTCCTTACAGCCTTGCTGCTAACTGGGCACAACCCTGAAGGGATTATACTCCATCTATCTACAAAGATATTGATTCACAGTAGAAAAAACTCTGCAAAATAGGGAAGATTTACAGACAGGTGTGAACAAATGCATTTGTATTTCCGTGAGACCTAGATTCCCATCAATTTGGTATATCTACTTTCTCTGAGAAAAAAATGCATTATCCATTAATCTGTTTGAAGTACATTAAGCTATTTGTGCACAGTGTACTCTTACCAAAAATATATGCTCTATATTGCATATATTCACATGCTATTGTTATTAAATACTTGAGAAAACTCCTAAAAGTTTCTTCAGCAAATACAGATTTACCAGTGCCTGATAAGCCTTCAGTACTTTTTTGAGACACCTGATGAACCTTTCATACTTCAGGTAGTAATGTATCAAATCAGTAAGAAGACCTGGAGTAATATAAGATCTCCTTACAGACCTGTCTTAGGCAGCTTTCCAACCTCATGAAAGATCTTCTATGGCTCAACTAAAATTATTCTACAAAATCATTACGTCCTTCAGTTTGCGTGAGTTGTTCCACAAATCCAAGCAGCGATATCAGAGTGAAAGGTCATCCTGTTTTAGTCCAAGGACTAGTCAGGTTGGAGTTGAAACTCTTATAATATTCTTGATTTTAAATATCCAGCTAAGTTTAGTCTGTTCTGCGACTGCTCAGGGAGCCTCTGCACATCACTTGCAGAGACTTTGTGTTATAACGTGTCGGTCAGACTGTAGGTTTGGATTTCTATGAAACAGTTTTCTGCCATAGTATCATCAATCCCAGATGATGCCCTTGACAGATATCTGTAATTTCCTTATGCCTGGAATTAAATTCCTCCTTAGAGATGGTCATTGCTTGAGATTCACAATGGACAAGAAAAACAAAGAAAAGTAATTACTGTGTTCAATAAATGAAGTTCTACTGGACAGGATTCTTCTTACAATTGTACCCTGAATATACCATTTTCTACCTTTTTTACTAAGTCCTTTGATCCTGTTATGAAAAGTAAAAGTTTAGTAAACATTCTTCTCAGAACAAAGGTGTTAAATATTTCCTTCCATCTTGAGAGAAACTGTCTCAAAAATGGAACATGGATGGAAACTACATCGTGAGGTATTTGGTTTCTCGTGCAGAAAATGAACTTTGCTTTCATTTTAAATTCATCATCTTTTTTTAAATTTTTTCCAGTTACAGTTGATAAAACATGCATCCTCTCTAGAAATAATGCAAATCTTACATGTCTGCCTGCTATCATTCACATTTTTGTAAGAAAAGAACATAAACTTAAAATTTTACTTAGTAAAAATATTCTTTTAATTATTCATTTGAAATGGTGACCTTTTCAAGTTGAATTATTATATGTTGGCATGACGGTTTTCTTGTGTCTTATAATATTTTACGGTTGAAGAAATCATGCAGATAATCTAATTACTTTGACTAAAATTGTTGTGCCGTTTATGTCTTTTGCTGTACTACAGGAGAGAAACTGTGAAACGTATTCATTATCGATTCATTAAAGGCTTTTGCTATTATATAAGCAGAGATGCAGACCACTACCTATCTTGTATTAAAAGGGGAAAGGGGAAGGCACAGCAAACCACGCCATAGGCTACGGTTTATGTATTGCATTTCTTAATGTCTTGTGAAACGTAAAAATCTACAACAAACAGATATGTAAAGCGTAACCGGTATGAAGATTCTATTCAGATTTAAGTGCTCTAGGTTGCTTTTGAATCTTGCTATTTTCTGCATTTGTTTTGACTGCTCTCATCATTCAAGATTGACGCTTGGATGGGTGTGTAGGAGGAGGCAGCAGCAGCAGGCTTACAGCTTGCAGACAAAAAAAAAATCTGCCTTATCTGATGGCTATTATTGAAAATGCGAGGTGTAGCCTAGGCTGGGTAATGAAGGGGAGCGAGCGAGGGGGAGCAAGAAGCATGGACCTGCATACTGATGAGTGTAGGAGTACTTGATAAAAAGAATTCTTGCTGCTGGCAGTGCATTGCTCATTGTGGAGTATTCCAACAATCACATATAACGGAGAACAGCTTAGCTGACAGCTTGATATGCTTGCTTTTTTTTTTTTTCCCTACTGTATGACGTACTGGTCTGTAGTAAAGATTAATAACTAAGAAATGTAGAGCTAGGATCAGATCTTACGCTATATACTGCCCTGTAAACTATGTTTTACTTCTGACTTTTCTGCTTGCTGAAAACATTAATCTGTCAAGCTGGCGGGCTCCTTTGATACCAACTTTCCCAGGAACACGATGTGGCAATGCCACCTCTCAGCCCAGGACTACCGCTATTATCCAGTGGATGGTTATTCGTTGCTTAAACGCCTCCCTCTTCACCCTCCTACAGGACCCCGATGCCCTGTCCAGACAGTGGGACAATGGTTGGAAAATATTGGGCTACCTCAGTATGAAAACCACTTGCTGGCTAATGGATTTGACAATGTGCAATTTATGGTAAGAAATCTTCCGTGCATAGCTCTGTATATACACTGTAGCTGCCTTTTTTGTCTGTCTCTTCTGTGCTCATAAAAACCTTAGAGCTATTCTGCATTGCACTAAGAAAATCTGTTTAGTGTTTCACTTTTCTATGTCTAGCTAAATTAATATATAAGCTGTCCTTGTGTAAACTTCCAAGCTGTACACGTTACAAAATATTCTAGCCAGAAATATGGTAAAAGAAAAACTGAATATTAAGGTTCTTTGTCCCCCTCATCAATCTTGAGATTAAAAAGGAAAAATGCACAGTTCTTTTAATCCATCGCAGGATTTTCACAGTATGTAAAAGCTGTAAACACCCCTATCTGCAATACATCACATTATTACTTTTCTTTAAACATTAACATCATTGTAATAATAATTAAATAACATGCAATGCCATTCTTGCATTAAGAGGTATTTTAATAACATAAAATTATTTAATGAAGCGTGCTCTCTATGCAATTGATTCTGGATGTCTCAGTAAAATGTTTTTGCATCTTAGATAATCAAGCTATGGGATTCACTTGTTGAAACTTATGCCCTGTGTGGAAAAGTAATGCATTCCTTCAAATAGTTCCATTTTCATGTTTTAACTCTAGGCATTTATCAGGAACATATGAATGCAATAAAATTTTATGTACTTCAGGATTTACAGTATTGCCATGTGGTGTAAAGTAACAGAGACGTGTCACGCACAAACTTTCCATTGAAATGAATATTGACAGTAAAGGGAGAAGCTTACTTGGAAGGTTCTTACATAATCACTTTTTTACCTGCTTCGGTATTCCCATCACTCAAACCTCTTGCAAAAATCCTGACTACATTTCTTATGAAGTCTCAGAGCTTAAAATATTATTAATCAGCCCTTTTTAAAGATATTTTTAGTAACCTTGAATATCTTGGAACAGTTCTAACTTTTCATAACTTACACCTGGCATATAAGAAACAGAAGTGAAACAGCATGAAGATTATGGCTATAAAATCATCACGAGTTGTGTTTTTCCTGTTTAACTTCTTTTGCCAACATCATTATAAGCCTTTGGGTTACTGATTAGAAAATTAAGGCACAGATCTCTGCCATTTCCACATTATAATAGTGTAGAGGTTTCTTCCTGGTTTTACATGGCTGCCATGTGATCTTTTGCTTATATCAGTAAAAATCATGAGAATCTTTACCTTTAAATATTCTTGAAAACAAAGCTGCAAGGATGTGCTGTCAGCCCAGCAATGTAAAAAAAATTCCAAAATACCTTTCAAGCTACAGTTTCCCAAAATGTAACTACATATTCTTCTATATGTTGTAGTCTTAGTTACATAAGTAGATGATCATTTAGTATTAAAGAGATTACAGAAGGAAATTGTTCACAAGAGGCTGTAGGTGGCATAACAAATGCCGAGGGGTGCACCTACCACAGGTAACTGATGAGCTCCAGACGAGCCAAAAAAACTACCCTGGAGGGTTTTCCAGTCGTCCCCTGGCTCTGGAGGGGCCTGAACCACGCTCGGGGGGAATTTATAAGACTTTCATTTCCTATGTCTCTTATTAGTATACTTATGTAAACATACATATTATATACGAGATTCTCTTATTCAATATGCAAATCAAACTTTTCAGGTATCAGGCAGATTAACTTATGCCTGCATACTTGTGTGTTAGCTAATGTTTTAATGTAATTTCATTTTAATTTAAGCCTTTTCTGAAGTGGTTTGTTTTTAAATATATATTGTAGGTGAAATACATAATTACTCTTAATGTTAGTTGGGGTAGCATGCATATGTGAATGGAAGATTAGACTCTTAAATCCAGTGATTAAGCAAAAAGCTGGAAAATTGCCTCGTAATAAAAAATATATAATTTCAGTAATTTAATAATTCCTAATTTATTGATTTCACACTGTTCATCATGCTGTTACAGATTTCAGGTTTTGTTTGTACCAGAAAGTGAATAGTTCCCATATCTTATTGGAAATAAAAATGATCAGAAAACACAAATTTCTTTTTATATTATTGTTTTGAATATATCAGCATTATGTAAGGACAGGCTCTCCTGAAAATTTAAATGAGTATTTTTAAAAATATTTTCCATTCTAGCCAAAATGTTAAAGAGAAAATTAAACTTGGAAAGTATATAGGAAAATGAAAGAAAGACCTGCTATGCTAAGACAAAAATTCAGATTACTTCAAACTTAAATGTGTTGTAGCCTTCCTTAATATGAGAGAACTGCTTTACCTTTATTAAAGTGGTTTACATATCAAGCTATGTTTTATAATCTTACTAAATTAAGTGTTTCAGGTAGGTTAGCTACTTTACGTTGAAGAACTCCAATACCTCAATGCAGTAAAAAGTCAATTAGACATATTTCTTTTTCATTCTCTGTCATATTCCTGCTTTTGTTTTTCTGGAAGCACATTCTGACCTGCATTTATTCATTCTGTTGCCTAAGCAACAACCATCACACTCCTATTAAGTATGATTTAGTAGTACAGGTCTTACTAGATGTTCAGAACAGGAGAGGGAATATCACAATGTTATAATTAATGTCCATGGAATAACATGCATCGGAGTACAAATATATCCTATTTATACTACTCTCAACAGCAAAATTCTATTAATTAAATTAGCATTCTAATAAAAAGGTGTTTTTCAGAGAAAAGATTTCATGGTTAATCATTCATTAGGTCATAGAAATTAACTCTTTGTGTTTAGTCCCCCTTGGGCATTAGGAAAGTTATTCACTAGACTGGGCTTAGAATTAGGAAGATTTGTTTATGTTACCTGAGGTGTGTGGACTTTATCATAAGAAACAGCCGGTTTCCTGTTAACTTTACAGTATGAATATTCTTCCATAGTTCATCAATATATATGTTTTTAAAATATGGTGAAACCTAGTATTAAAAAATTATTTGTGTTGTCATGAACTACTTTATTGCTACTTACAGCATACTTGCACACATAGCAAGTGCAATTCCTACCTACTATTAGAGTCATGCAGGAATGACACTCGCATAATACTTAGCAGGCCCAAGGCAGATTCAGTCCCAAGACTTGGTTCATATGTGCTTGTAGGAGTAGAATCATACTTGAATATGTGTGTGTGTATATATATGCAATCATTATTAACTTTGGTAATTTGTTGTGTAATGGGCTGCACTGTCCTTCAGATGTAAAAATTTGTAGTGACTTTGTGCAGAGATGCTCTATATTTGAAGATGCAGATGATACTGCAGTTTCATAATGTGAAGGCTATTTTGTGGTTAAACTAATTCTAAAGTGCAAGAAAACAATTAGATCAGTCATAAATTGCAGTATAGGAACTAGATATAAATAATAAGGAAACCTAATGAATCAGTCAACATCTTTTTGATGCATAGGTCCCATGGATATCCCTGGGACAAGCTATAATCTTTATGCAGACTTGCAGGCCTACATAACTTAGTATGCTGAGAAAAAAAAGTTAAATTGCAGGGAAACAGATGAAAATATACAAATGCGAGGTCACTAGATCCTTGCATGCAGCTTTCTACAACTCTGGAGCTTCATCAAAGACTCCATTCTGGATTCACGGAGGTAAAAGCGGTTCAATCAAATCACTGCCCAGTGGGGACTAGTTCTGGTTAAGGACTGCATATGACTCTCTGTTTATAGGTCGTTCTAATCGTTTAAGATATTCTGAAATTTTATCATTTGCTTAATATTGCAATTTGATGAAGATAATATATCTTAAAAAGATTTGTAAAACACTTCATGAGAGAAACAGGGACCAGGCAAACAAAGTGAGTTAACAGAAAAATATGAAGCGTTTTGTTATATTTTTTGACATTCTAAAATATTGTTCACTGGTAACAGTTAATAACTTGAATTGGCATTAGACGCTAGACTTTCATTGCTGCTGTGAACTTACAGACATGCACCTCTACCCCCTCAAGTACTTAAATGGCTTGCATTGCCTGAGGATCTAAGTATTGTCTAAGTATTTTTTTAAATTCTCTCTTTTTCACTGTTGGGAAACTGAGGCATAGAGTGACCGCAGGCTGGAATTTAAAATTGCTTATACATTTGAGATAAGAGGCACTAGTTCTTAAAATAGCTACTAACATAATGTTTAACAGATCAATTCAGTTGCTTAAACATAGGTATCTAGTACCAATTGAGATACTGTAGAGGATCCAGGAGATCCAGACAGGGCTGACCAGTATTACTGAGGGCAAGAGACAGCCAGGTCCTTCATGCTTAGCAGCTGGAGTCTAGGTGGGATACCACCGAGCATCTCAGATGGCTCTGGAGTCATCTGCGATGACTTATGATGCTTATGCAGCTGAAATGAATCTTAAATGTTGTAGGTCTAGGAGCTTGTCTAGGAACTGAATATAGCTGCCTGGAGTTTCCACCTAGTATCTTAGCTGCATATGCATTTCTTTTCCTTCTGATAATTTTCTGCATTTGTATTCATCCAGTGAACTTACCTGCACAAGTATTTACCTGGTTTCACAGTGCTAGGCATGGACTACCTTCTCAATTCTCCTCAGCTGCCTAAATCCTTTTGGATTTAGTTTTGAGTTAAGTTTTGACTTTTCTTTTTCCCTTCCTCTCTCTCTTTCTTTTTTTCTTTTCTTTCATTTTGTACTAGGTCTGGAGGTTTATTAGTCAGCTGAAGTTTATCTGGAGACTACCCTCTCTCAGGTGTCATTCCTGGGATTTGCTGTCCTGGAATACCCAGTAATTCTTCTTGCCTTTAATCTCTCTGGAGGATCTTAAACTCTGTATTGAGTATAAAGGAGAGAAGCAATTTTATTTCTTTAGAGTGAAATGCACCTGAAAGAAATAGCCTATGTGCATTGGCTCCAAGTCCTGCACTTGTAGAGACCACCACAGCTTTTATCCAAAAATGCCTGGTGCAGAGATTGATGATTTGGGCATTAGATGAAAGCTTGAAAGAGTGAGTCAGTCTGCCAACACCTTTCTTAAATTAGCCGTG